ATGGAATTTATTTGAAAATATTCATAACAAAATATCATCAAGATGTTTGTGATGGTTCATTTTTCAATCTTAAATATTCATGGTCAATGTGATGATTCAATGTTACAATTATAACTATAAATAATAATACAAATTATGACATAGAATACTTGAAATCTTACAGACAAAATTATTATGGTCAAAGTAAAAACACAGCCGGTTATGTTAATGGAAAGTACGATTACAATGTATATTTGTACCTTAGCTATAAAGACTATAAACTTACATTTCTTTATTCATTTTGACCACGTATAACAAGGAATTTTCTAACGATTTTATATACTTAAAAAAATATTGCACTGAAACTTTCTTCAATTGCTTAATTTCTTTGATAAATTCATGCGTAACTGAGTTATGATTGTAGACCTTACGCTGTACGAATTGTTTATATATTAGTATATTTAATGTATCTTACAACGCAAATTATATTGCCTATTATGTGGTCCATATTCCATAAGAAAATTGTCTTAAATTAATAAAAATCGTATTCACATCAGCATTAAATATTACTAAGAAGAAAAACAAGATTAATATGTGACGTCATTGCGTGTATAAGAAAAAAAATCTATTCAAACTAGTGCTATGCTAGTGATTTTGTGATATCTATATGAAATAAATTAATACACACTAATAAGGTCCCTTAAATCTTCACACGGACATCATTATAATTGAAATACAAAATATTCCAATAAAAAAGCTCTAACATTATTATTATTATTATTGCTTCGCTCTTTGCACTAAGATTTCTAAGTTACAATCAATGGAAAATGTAATGAATCTTAACTATTTTAAAGCATAAACAGAAATAATAAAAAAAAACATTGACCAGAAAATCCTTAGGGTTATTAATTTGGTGAGTCATATGTGGTCATCTTTTAATTATTTAAATGAAAATTTAAAAAACAAATTCGAATTATTTGTTGGAAGTAAATACTTTAGAAATGAGTTGGAGGGTGACTCGAACTTTAGGCCTAGTCAGTTTGAATAGCCTATCATGTAGAGGATGTCATGGGGGTCATGGTTGGATAGGGGTAAAAAGTTCTCATTACACTTCTAGGGGGTCAAAATGGCCAAAAACCATTAAAAAAAAACCAATAATTAAAAGTCCTTATTTCGGCTATAACTTCGCCTCCTTCGGAGGTTCTTACGCAGTCTTTACTTGCCGCATCTCACTTGTTATTATCATGGAACAAGTATTCTTCATGCATTACAAATCGTAATATCAAACAAGCTACCATAACCAAACTATACGTATAAAATTTAAGGTCCATTCGCGTTTAGAAAACAGTGAGTAAACAATCTTCACGCATTTTCACCGATATAATGTAATAAAGAGTGCTTTTTTAAAGTTGCATTCACTGATGACTATTTTCTATACTCCACCAGATCTAAGAAAATATCTTTTGACGTTTCACATTAATCATTCCGCAGTAACTTTGTACAAGCGTACACACAAGATTCAAAATAACCTTTTACGTAAATCCCAAAGAATTATGAAGTTATCTGTATTTCATTAGACTGAGGTGTTCAGATAATAATCAATAATTTTGCTCCGATCTACGCAGTATGAACTTACAGTATCTTGAAGTTACTATACTGCGTAGATCGGACTTCAGTCCTCCCCGAGACCATTAAATGTATATTTAGTATTCGCGTAAACATAAGAAATCATCATACGGGCTTCCGATACTAAATGAAAATCGCAAAATAATCATTTAAAAATGTAACTAATTGGGACAACGTTATATCCATGGATGAAACATGTCTAAACGCCAACCACATTGTGCAGACATGGACAGATGACACTGAAGTGTCTTGATCAAAGGTGCTAGTGGGAAAAGTTACAATTTACCATGCGGGATCCGCCGGAGGAGGATTTGTAGAAAACAACTACTGCACATACTATGACTGGACCAAAGTGGTGGAGAAAACAAAGAAAATTATTATGGATCACTATGAAAGGGACGTTCATTTTGACTGCATTATAGAAAATCAAATAATAATTAATGTAAACTACAATAAAGACGACGGGGGCGGCTCAACTAGTTGTAGTGAAAGTGATTAAATAAATTCATTTTTAATCTAGTGCTATATTAATAAACAGTCTGCAACTAACAGTTTTTAATTTATATAAATTTTGTATAGAAATTAACAGTAAGCAGTAAATATGAGGAAGCTCATAAAGAACAATGGCAGACTTTCATACATGAAATTAGTTGAGAAGGAATGGTAGCGTCTATATATCAAAAATATCCTAGAATCTTAAGCGTCAGTCCTTTAATAATTCTGTCAAAGAATTTTGTCCTGAGAAGGCGTCAAAAAAAAGATATTTAGATTTGAACCTTTTTAGGTTATGTCTTGTCACTTGGAAAAAGTCATGCGTACTGTGGTTGTTTGATGTTAGCTTAATACATTCTCAACATAATGTACCTACCTACATAATTGAGTTTTTAGGTTATTGTATCTCTATTATATATTTGCATACTATAAATGTATATTTCTGGTACGGCTCCAGGGCTTTTGTGTCATATAGTGGCTATAACCCAGAGCCGTAAAGCTAGTATAAAAACAGTAACATTTTGTTTTAGCTAGTGTTGCCATAGCATTAAATGAAATAGATAGTACTATGATTGAGATAATGTATTATTGTAGGAAGTTCTTTGTAAGACTTATTTTCAACCACACAGCACGAGCACACAGTCCATCTGATGGTAAATGGTTGCTGTAACCCAAATCTACATTTATCCTTAATAAAGAATCAAAATACAGTTGCGTCGTCACCCGTGAGGGCTAAGATGAAATGGCTCTTTTCCAGTAAAACGGGTCTCCGGTTATCTACACTCACCGTACGAAACACAGCAGTGTCAAGCTACCATTTTACGCTAGTATTCTGTGAGAGCGTGGTCCTTTCCCGGTCTAGCCGACCCATTCGTGCTACAACTATACTAATATAGCTGCAGCATGACTCTACCACGTATTTTTATTATTACTAATAGTATAGTTATTACTAATAATAATTTAATACAAAAATATTTTGTGTTTGTGTGGTGAGTCTTACAAAGTGTGTACGAAAATAGTATGAATATAGTAAATGGCAACACTTGAATAGAGTAAAATTATTTAAGTCATTTGATATTCCCAAAAATGTTTGTTTTTTCTGTGGCTTTAATTAAAGTACATTTTTATTTGAAAAATCATAGAATAATAATAAACGCATTTTATATACTTATAACTTATTTCTTGACGCAATAATTTTTGTCAACTATTTTTCTGCCATTGTTCTTTGTGTTTCGAGTTATCTGTTTTTAATTTATTCTGGTAAAACTGTGAATTATTATCAACTCAAAGAATTGATATCGATATCTCTTAAGAATCGAATATTGTACGTACCAATTTTTTTATTTGGAATGCCTAGTCCAATTAAAAGTGGCAGCTGTCAAAAGTATTTCTTAGATTTGGTGGAGTAGAAGACAACCGGACTACAATACTATATGCGTAGGATAAGAATAGGATTGTGTTGAGTAACAACTTTACTCTCTGCTCTTTAAATTAATAATATTATTTTCAGATTAATACATCAACAAAATGCGGTCGCAACATAAAACTAATGACAATTAAAAATACACTATATTTAATGAATCTATGATTTTTTTCACATCATTCATTATATTTGCATGCGCTGGTTGCGATCGAGTTCTGATAAAAATATCATACTTACCCTGGAATTAATTAGGTAAATTTTTGCTATTTAATATTTATTTTCAGATTTTAGGACAGTAACTAACTATGTCATATAAAATAATGTTTTTTTTAAATATTTTACAATTCAATCTTAAAATACATTGTACTAAAAGTTCGTCAAGTCTTATTAACATCAATTGGTACCTTGACGGTACAAACAATAAATATAGGCAAGAATATATTGCTTAGATATTTCTTTCACAAGGGGTTCATTGAATTTTACAAAAATATTTTTATATGGCACCAATTATATAATTTTATATGTATAATTTAACCCTTAACTTGGCAGAGTGCATCAGTGGATACACTGCTCTTTAAAAAAATATTGTAGGAAAACTAAACAAATTTTGACGTAGATTTTCTTGCGATAAGTTAGTATATGAACTATGATATTTAATAGGATTTATAGTTTTATAGCATGTAACACTGAACTGTCAGTACCCCGCAAGACGGCGGACCGTAAGCATGCGTCTACGCACAAGCCGGTAAGTATTATGTATTTTGCTACTTTTTTATGCATTTTTGATTATTATTTGAAGTGAAAGTAAACGCAGTAATGTTACATTATCCCTGGATGTAGTTTTTTGATACCAAAACTTTATAAATTCGATTTTACAACTCTGTTTGTCCATATGTATCTCTGAGTATACACTGCCAGCTACGCAAAAAAATAGTGCTATTTTGACGTGTGTCTATGAAGATACACTGCCAGTTTATTAGTGAATGTGTACAAATTTAAAAAAAAATTGCAATGTCTATGCAAAAAAAATATAATTGTTGATTTTTTATATTCCTAATTAATACATTTAAATAAAAAAAAATTAATTTGTGTAACACTTGTACAGTAACTGTAGTAGACAGATATATATTTTTATAATTATGTATGCTTTGGTACAAATGCTCATACTTATTTAAGATAAGCTGTACGATAATAAATGTTTGATTCCAGATTTCACAACAAAAGCTTTAAAAACAAAACAGAGCCCGCAGAATTCTCACCCTAGTTCCAAAATCTGGAGCTAGATCAGACATAAGTAGCAGTGATGATTCAGCTGATGAGTTAGATAAGTATATCCCTCCAACTCTTTCAGACATTAGCTCTCCACCTCCATCTTTGAGAGATGTACGAGACTTTATAGCCATTAATATATTACAAGGTATAATATATTAAAAGTTTCAAATACTCAGTACATATCTACATTTTAACGATAACCTGCGTGATGATGGAGACAGGTTCTACAAGATTAGACCACTATTACAAAAGGTTCGAGAGAAATTCCCTAAAAATAGAAAAAGAACTCACTTTCAGCATAGACGAGATGATAGTGCCCTACAAAGGTACCAGAGCGGGAAGCAGAAAGCAATATGTACAAAATAAACCTAAGAAATGGGGCTTTAAAATGTTTGTTCGCGCTGGCGTTTCGGGCATTGTATATGATTTTTTTGTATATGAAGGGGAAGATACATTCTGGTTCACTTCCTTTACCGAAGAAGAAAAAAGCATGGGGTTAGGTGCAAAAGTCGCCATACCTCTAGCCAAATCCATTTGCCAGCCTGATTGTAAAATCTTGTGCTTTGACAACTTCTTTACATCAATTGAATTAACGCACCCACTGAGAAATGAATGCGTTATTTTTTCTCTAGGAACTGCTAAATTCAACCGACTTCGTGGAGCACAGGAGGAACCTCCTACTAATATACACTTAAAAAAGAAAGGGAGAGGTTCACATGCTTAGGTTGTGTGTAACAAAAATAAGATTGTTGTTACCAAGTGGTACGACAACAAATGCGTTACTGTTGCAAGCATATACGTAGACTCACATCCTCTCCAAATTGTACCTCGGTATAACAAAGTACTGAGAAAGAAAATACAAGTACAATGTCCACGAATGATAAAGGAGTTCAACTCCAATACGGGTGGCGTGGATTTAGCGGATATGCTTATTGTATTATACAGAACAGAATTCAAGGGACATCGCTGGTATCTACCTTTTTTTTTCGTAAATCCTGGATATATGCGTTAATAACGCCTGGCTTATGTACCGGCGAGGTTCATCAAATAGGTCAAAATTAATGTCATTGAAAGAATTCAAATAAGAAATTTACCGAAGCCTACTTTTATTTGACAGAGGCGTTTCTGCCAATAAACTCATCTGCAGAGAAACCCATTGACGCTGTACGATATGACCAAGTTGGTCATATGCCAGTATTTAAAACTAAAGGCTGGTGCAAAAATTGTACAAAAGGCCAAACCCGAATTCATTGTCAAAAATGTAAAATAAGACTGTTTGGTAGAAGAGTGCAACTGTTTTCATGCATATCATACCAAATAGTATTGTAAATCAAATAATTTGTATTGTTTGATTATATAACATGATCTCATAATTTTAAGACTGTTAATTTGATAATAAAAATGATGAACAATGGTTGATTAATTACAATTAGAATCTATTTTTTGTTACAATGTAAAACTGGCACTGTATCTGTCAGGACACGTACTTTTTATAATGTAAATTGTTGCTTAGCTGGCAGTGTGCACTGCAGGATACGTTTTATAAAAAAACATCTAAAAGCTAAAGATTTTTTTAAATATTTTATTCAGCTTTTATTTACCTAATTAAACACCCTGATTGAGAGAAAAACAATAAAATAAGAAAAAAAATATCTGCCAAGTAAAGGGTTAAGCATGATTTAATATTGTAAAATCGTATTCAATACCGTTTCGATATAATAAATTTTGCCGTCCGTTTAATTTTGGTAAATTTTTAACATCATAATTATTTCATAAATTATTCTATAATGTTTTCCGTGTAGATATTAATACATAATTATATTATTATTACATTAACAGTGTTATAATAAATTTATATTTCAAATACCCATAGTCTTTAGCTGGAAATTCTATAATTTGTACAAAAAGTCAATTCCTACGTACTACATACAAGTAAAAATAAGCTAAAATATATGTATGTAAAGAAATGTCATGCAATGTTGTTAAACGTACCCAGACGTCTAGCAAGCGTGAGCTTGTACATCTAAGATTAATTATGTAACAATACAATCTTATAATTCTGCAAAATACCAACATTCATATTAAAGTAAAATACATTGCGAAATTTTGGCTCATTGATGTTTAAACAGCCGAATAAGGAAAATGTGAGTAAAATTTGATTGCATCTAACAAATAGCTTCTGATGAATGTTATTACCTATGATTACCATTGTAATTCGTATTACCATGATCGGTTTGTTTCAGTCTACATAATAATATGCTTCTCCCAAAGCTCCACGTTTAATAATACTGTACTTAACGCATTTAACTATTCCATCTATTTCGACAGTTCTCCAACATACGCAAGGCTAACGATATAATTGCAAACTGTGAATTTGCGTAATTTTTCCATAGATTTCGATGAAACTCGAATCTTAAATACATCAATTAAAATGCAACTACACAAAGAATTTACATAAATTAATAAATAGACTATGTATTGCATGACATCGCTTTTTCAATAAAAATATTCAGGTGTAATTTTTAGCATTAACGGTCCATTGTTAACGACACCACTGACTGAATCAGGTATACGAAACACCTCATATGGATGTTAATAAGCCATAGTATAGTATATATACGTCCCACTTCTGGGCACAGGCGACTTCTCATTTTTGAGAGGTTTTTATGGATATGAAGTGTCGATTGCGCTGTCCCTAAAGGCCGATTCACACTTGGGCAAGTACAGTAAGCAAACCTGGCGATTTAAGTAAAAAATCTCGTTTGTGTGTGTTAGTGAGTTAAGTAGCAAATTAACAATTAAATAGAACGGGATAGCTGCCCGGTCTATTTTTATCGAGTCAAGTTCGAAGTTCTCACTAACTAAACTCGCCGCCCGTGAGAATGAACGAGTTACGTTCAATAAGTATGCATAAGTTGACCGGACGCAACGCGTTCGCGTTCAACACTCAAAATATAAAAAATAACTTTTTTTTTTAAACTAAACTCGCCACGAAGAGATTTGAACGCTACTGCCCACTTAACTGATTACTGTCAACTGCCATGTAACTAAACTAGCTACCGTATTTGTCGAAGTATAATTCGGCCTATAGCCATGTAGGCGGACTTCAGACGTCGTAGAAATATTTCTTTATTTTACTTATTAAATTTGAAGGTTTCTTTACGATGTCACCGGTCATAATTATATAAATCAGAATTTAAAAAATATTTATTGTAATTAATTATTTCATCGCTACTCGTTTGAAATTAAACATTTTAACATTATTTTTGGTTAAGTTATACGTTTCATTATTGCTAATACCGGGTGACTGTGAAACGCTCCCGAAAACGAAGCCAGACGATAGTACCTTTCATGATGGGTCAGAAAGAAAATCGATACTGAGGAAAAAAAAATATTTTCACAATGTTTTATTAGCTTTATTCACGCTCCATCGTGTTAGTACAGCTAAATGGAACGATAATTTCATGAAAATACTTAAACAAAAACCAGAAGTGTAATATAAAATCAACTGACTAGGGTCAATATTCGCGCGGACGCCCTCACTCGCGCGGATACTACTCACTCTACCCTTCCCTTTCACACACGCACTACCGCCGCCCGGCCGACTCGTGTCGCGTTGCCAACATGTGGGGAATTTTCCAAATTGCGGGGAATTTAAAGTTGTTTATCACGTAAAAACGCTGGCCTTGAACCTGGGCACTGAGCGATTTATCGATCAAATTGGTGTTACGAAGTTTCATTTTTTACTTTCATTTTTCATTTCTATTTTCTTATACAAAATCAAAGATAACGATGAAATAATGTTTATATTTGTGTTAGTACTTAGTACCCAATTAGGTACGTTTATTAATTTCAATAATTTTTTGTAGTAAAGAAATGCTTGTTGCGTCAGGGTACAATTGATTGTGTAATTGTATTAAAAATGACAACCATAACTTCTAAATTCCATATGAAGACTAGTCGTAGGGAAAACTAAACTTATAAATTAAATAAACGTTGACAATGTCATAACGGTTTAACGATCTGTGGAAATGATGCCGCAAGGACGTTAGGACGCACGCACTTACCGGTAGGCATTTGTTTTAGATTGATTATTAATTTTAGTTTTTGAGACAGTTCCGTGTTGACTATCACGTGCGCGTAAGCGACGGTTCAATCGTTTTGTTTATTAATTTCTTATCGTTATTATTCTTGTTGTTACGTCTTGTGTTTCTTGTTTTGTTTTAATAATGCCTAACGCGTACGTATATAGTGCTAGTGAATACCCCGGAGGATTTATATCGGTAAGATATTTCATACCTATTTTCTTTAATTAACTTAGCACTGGACTGATCTGAATAGGTACATAACTGAATACATCAGAATAAAAATACCTACACGATGGATAAAAAATCATGACTATCCTTGTTAACATTTCATTGAATAAATGTTTAATTAGCGGGGGAATCTAACTAGGTATTTGGCTTATTTAGCCTGTGAATTCGAATTAAAGTGGCTAGGTGGATACAAGCATAGTGGCAAAATAGTAGGTTAAGTAGTTAAGTTAGGTATTTAGACATGTGTTGCAAATTAGTAGGTATTGGTACGATCACTAGCTACGAGGCAGCGCGAATTCGGCGTCCGCGCGTATATTGACTGACCTAAGTTAGCGGATTTATTAATAAATTCCACTGCGTGTGTTATGCTTAAGTATTTTCATGATTTTTTTTTAAATTAAATTATCGTTTCATTTAGCTGTGCTAACATGATGGAGCGCGAATAAAGCTAATAAAACGTTGTCAAAAATTGAGTTTTTTTCTTCGGGATCGACTTACTTTCTGACACATCATCACAGGTATCGTTAGTACTATGGCCTGTCTTCGATTTCGGGGGCGTTTCACAAATAGCCTGTATATATATTGTGGTTCCAGTATGGTAGGGTCAGTTTAAATGGAGAAGAACCACTCTCTCATAAAATACTAGAATAAAAAAGCAGCAATATTATACTTTGATTCATATGTACTGTGCATGATGAGAACCGGAGACCTTTTTTACTTTTTTGTTATAGGATAAGGGTGACAAGCGAGCACACAGTCGACCTGATGGTAAGTGGTGGCTGTGGCCCATAGACATCTACAAATATCCTCCTTTGCGAATCAAAATGTAGATGCGTTGTCAGCCGTGAGGACTAAGATGGAATGCCTCTTTTCCAGATAAAAGGTCTCCGGTTTTCTCTATACTCAACATAGGAAACACAGTAGCATTAAGCTGCTATTTTATTTGCTGTGAGAGCGTGATCCTTCCTCGGTCGAGCCGACCCATTCAAGCTACAACTATACAGTTAATATAGCTGCAGCATGGCTCTACCACGTGTAAAAACTTGTAACGAGGCATTCCATCTTAGTCTTCAGAGAGACAATGATTCTACATTTTGGTTCGCAATAGCGTTAGATTGTTGTTGTTACGTCACCCTTACTTCTATAAAATACTATTTACACTATTTTAGGGCCTAAAGGTGTCGTTGACAATGTACAATAACAACACATAATTATTATTAAAAAAAATTACAATTTCAAATATTCTTAAATACAATGTTGCATTAAATGCAAACACCCTTCCAATTGGGACTTTGGTGAGATTTCATACGTAAATTTATTCTATCTTCTCCACCTACCTATTGTGGTTTTAAAACCACATTTGCATTAATGCAGCATTGGAGTCTGCAGTACTTCTATCCATCTGTAAGAAGGAATATTTTGTAATGTATACTTATTATAAATATCCTATATAGATTATGAACTGAGAAGACGATATCAATAATAAAATATAAAAAACTTTATAGTATAAGAAAATCGGTTTGGGTACAATGCTATCTCCTCACACTAAAGCCCGTGAAACATAGCTTGTTACTCGCACAAAAGCATGCCAGATAATGGTAAAATCGAACTACTGGCATGAGCTTCTTTATAGAAGAGAGTGCAAACGCGCATATCGTGATTCTCACGCCCGTACCTCACGTGCCAGTCAACAAAGCATACCGTGATAGAAGCGTGTTTCTAGAGTAATAAAATACATAATATACTTGTAGCATATGTATGATATTACTCTAAGACCAATGTCAAACACTTAATAGTCTGTGATTAAACAGTCGCACAGAGTACTGAAGACTCAGAAGGGCTAGAACCCAGAACCGTAAAGCCAGTTTAATAAGCTGTGAATTTTGTGATTTCAAATGTTCCTCTTTCAACAGTCTGTGTCCAAGGCAAAAAGCGTTTATTTTATATTTCGTAAATTAGATATCTGTGTTTTATATATAATTTAATGAAGGTCGAATTTCAACCGTTAGGCGACCACTGGTACTATGAAATTCTTCATAAATATTCATTTTAACTGGCTACTCACTGGCATATTAACAACTAGCATACCAGACAAGCATGTATTATTTCGATACAGAGCGCCAGTACCCCGCATCCTAGTTTACCAGCTTCTAATACACCTACAGGCGTTTGTATCACGAGCTTAACAATTTTCTATTAGGCGACTATATGCAAGTTTTTGTGCCTTTAGAGATAAGAGACCGATTTCAGTTCTTTCACAGTATTTTCGGAAATTGCATTAAAAATATTGCAAAATCTTCTTTTTTTATTAATGTTAAGAAAATTTATAAGCTAAGATGTGGGTGAAAAATTAAAGATGGTGTGTCTTACCTAGTTTTAACTACCCCCAACACCATTAAATTAGGAAAGACACACCACCGTTGATAATATGACACGTATTTCGGCTCTAAACGAGGCATCGTAACTTAGCAAGACAATTTTTTTTAAACATTAAAATCAGCATATAGAAACTGTAAAACGTGGTACGTTGCAATTTGAACTTGAGCTAGGGCGGAGTTGAAATTAGGAACTCCCAGAATCGGACCTATTACAGCAACTTCCAAATAGAAAACATTTTTAAACATACTATTAAATGGGAAATCAGTTAAGTATAAATACCTGCTATAGGTGAAATGGCTATCGGCCCTAAAGAAGTACACGTGGTTTTTGTACTGCAGCTTAAACACGAACTCTTTGTCGATGCCGTCGTTCGGCGCGGGCGAACCCACGTTGTACCTGTCAAATGTAATTATAACCATGATATATTTTATCGATATATACAACACGTAACATAATTAACGCACATCCTGAAAGTAGTTTGTTCAGAATCGTTTACTGAACTGATTTCTATCTTTTTTAATATAGGTAATTTTTTATCCCAAAAATAATTGAAACTGCGTAATTTACAGTCACACTAAACCCATACAGTCAAAACAAACTGAAATGGACCGTAACTCAAGGCAATAAGACTTTTAAAATTGCAGTTTTATTTGTATTAATACAAATTCCGTCATTCAATACAAAATAAAGAAAATTGAACCTTATTTAAAGTATGTTAAAGGCTTTACAAATACAGAGTTTGGAGTGCCTTATAAAAGTCGCGGTGGCAAGGCCGTTGACCTCCCAGATCAGCTGATTTGACGCCTCTTGACTTTTTTTTATGGGGACGTATTATATCATTATTTTATTTTAGTGAAACAACAAGTGCCGAGGACCTAAAAATAGGATAGTGAACGCTTTTAGAATAGTGAATAATGACACTGAATTTATTTCTAAATTATTTTCTTTCTTTTTTAAAACGTAACCTCCACACTAGTATTTTCTCTTGTATTGTGGGGGCAGTTTACAAACATAAACGGCACAAGGACAAACATTCAGACCCGGAAAAATTATTTGTAGGCCATACAAATAAGTGTCCCGTGCGGGATTCGAACCCGCGGCCCTTAGCGCTGCAACTCAATTGCTAATCCAATGCGCCACGGAGCCGTTGTGGACATTTTGAAATTGTATTAAAATATAACGTAGCACGAGAGCTTAGGCTATCAGTAAGTTAAATATTTGATTCTTAAAATTATTGTAATCTTGATTCAGATCTTTTAAACACGCCGTCTTTGAATTATGTTGTCGTATTGCCTCTTATTTTTAGCAGTTCATTATTATTTACAAATACAATTAAAATGTTATGCAAATTCATAACATTTTGTAACGAATATTGCCTTTTGACATTGTATCATAATCTATAAACAAAATTATTCGGAGTTTAAATTCTAAAGCCCGAAAAGTGTGATGGAAAGATGCAATCAAATGTTTACTAGACTTAAATAAACAACTCAATGCACGGAGTTCTGACATCTGTTAATGTTCATAGCTAGGTATTTCTGTAACGTAACCAATCATGTATTGTCGGCTTTTTTCGGCACTAATACCTACCTACAGTTGTGTCAAGCGGCGGCGGCGTTAACTCATCTCGAACGCGAGCGAATACTTGCTAGGCAAGCAAGACCTATACCTAGCATTCGTGGATTTGTACGGTGACCACAACATTCTTCCGGAATCAGTATAACAAATTTAATAAATAATCAATGCATAAACATGTTTAACTAAGAATTCAGTGTATGTATTATGATTATAACATAATATGCTAATTGGGGTGTCTGAGGATGTGCGTTAATTACGTTAGATGTTGTATAATCACCATCATTATTTCATCCCCTCACAAATCCACTTCTGGGCATAAGCCTCCCCCAATCGGAAATCCGTTCGAATTTTTCTTTCTCTTTCAATGAAGTATTTAAGTGCCTTTCCCATTGTAGGAAGAAGGTTGTACCCAGATATCAATAAAAATATTTAGAAATATGTAATGACGTAGTGCCTTAGTTTTTCAATTAAAATAATCATATCAGTGTAAAAACCTTACTGGTGGTGCATGCATTAGGAGACCGGTATCGCAATGTCAGTAAAGATCCTTTTATCGAAAACAGAACAACATTAAAGCTAATTGGACATGAAATGTTTAATATTTTATTTAACTTACCCTAATAATGGCAGGGAGGCTAGTGGTGTTTCATCCTGCCAGCTCTTATAGAAAAAAAGAGTGAAGACCGCAAACACCACCCATAGTTTCTGCCAACCATGAGAATTCTTGAATTTGCGCAGCAGATAACCCGACAGTTGTGTCTGCAATACAAAATTATGTTACGTTTATTTTAATTTATACTTTATACTTACAAATACCAAAAAAAAAGCCAAAAAAAGTTTTAGTTATAAAACAAATAAATTACACAGTAATGTGTTCGAAAGTTAACAGGCATAAAATATTAAATTAAATAATATTTAAAGCAAATTTGTAAATGTTGAATTATGTTTTTAGATCAAGGCAATAATTATCAAGTAGCCTGTGCATTTTCGAACAATCATACCAGCAACCTGATGGTATGTGGTTGTTTCTCTTCTTCAACAGCTTTTTCAAGTTCACTGCTGAACATGGGCTTCTTTAAGAAATTAATTGTCATACAATAAATGGACGATTTGTCCATAGCACAGGCGACTTGGTGAGCTATAAGTATCTCTATAATAAGTCCACTGCCCCATATCATCCCGTTAAGTGTCGTAAGAAGCGACAGAGAGAATTGAAACAGGTGATGGACAGCATGTCAATAACTTAAAATAATTAAAAAAAACTGCGGTTGACAATCCGCTCGTCAAGCGTGTCAAACTATGGCAAAATCCCTTCTGTAAAGCAATCTATGGGTGAGGCCTATGTCAAGCAGAGGAATTTTATAAGCTGTAATAGATGGATGGATGATGGATGAAATGTGTACGTACTCTGATGGGCGAGGTTGAGGTGCGTGCGTGTGAGCGAGGCAACAAGGTGCCAGCACACGAGCGTGTGTACGTGTGTACGTACCCTGATGGCAAGGTTGAGGTGCGTGCGTGTGAGCGAGGCGACGCGGTGCCAGCACACGAGCGTGTGTACGTGTGTACGTGTGTACGTACCCTGATGGCGAGGTTGAGGTGCGTGCGTGTGAGCGAGGCGACGCGGTGCCAGCACACGAGCGTGTGTACGTGTGTACGTGTGTACGTACCCTGATGGCGAGGTTGAGGTGCGTGCGTGTGAGCGAGGCGACGCGGTGCCAGCACACGAGCGTGTGTACGTGTGTACGTACCCTGATGGCGAGGTTGAGGTGCGTGCGTGTGAGCGAGGCGACGCGGTGCCAGCACACGAGCGTGTGTACGTGTGTACGTGTGTACGTACCCTGATGGCGAGGTTGAGGTGCGTGCGTGTGAGCGAGGCGACGCGGTGCCAGCACACGAGCGTGTGTACGTGTGTACGTACCCTGATGGCGAGGTTGAGGTGCGTGCGTGTGAGCGAGGCGACGCGGTGCCAGCACACGAGCGTGTGTACGTGTGTACGTACCCTGATGGCGAGGTTGAGGTGCGTGCGTGTGAGCGAGGCGACGCGGTGCCAGCACACGAGCGTGTGTACGTGTGTACGTGTGTACGTACCCTGATGGCGAGGTTGAGGTGCGTGCGTGTGAGCGAGGCGACGCGGTGCCAGCACACGAGCGTGTGTACGTGTGTACGTGTGTACGTACCCTGATGGCGAGGTTGAGGTGCGTGCGTGTGAGCGAGGCGACGCGGTGCCAGCACACGAGCGTGTGTACGTGTGTACGTGTGTACGTACCCTGATGGCGAGGTTGAGGTGCGTGCGTGTGAGCGAGGCGACGCGGTGCCAGCACACGAGCGTGTGTACGTGTGTACGTGTGTACGTACCCTGATGGCGAGGTTGAGGTGCGTGCGTGTGAGCGAGGCGACGCGGTGCCAGCACACGAGCATGTGTACGTGTGTACGTACCCTGATGGCGAGGTTGAGGTGCGTGCGTGTGAGCGAGGCGACGCGGTGCCAGCACACGAGCGTGTGTACGTGTGTACGTGTGTACGTACCCTGATGGCGAGGTTGAGGTGCGTGCGTGTGAGCGAGGCGACGCGGTGCCAGCACACGAGCATGTGTACGTGTGTACGTACCCTGATGGCGAGGTTGAGGTGCGTGCGTGTGAGCGAGGCGACGCGGTGCCAGCACACGAGCGTGTGTACGTGTGTACGTGTGTACGTACCCTGATGGCGAGGTTGAGGTGCGTGCGTGTGAGCGAGGCGACGCGGTGCCAGCACACGAGCGTGTGTACGTGTGTACGTACCCTGATGGCGAGGTTGAGGTGCGTGCGTGTGAGCGAGGCGACGCGGTGCCAGCACACGAGCGTGTGTACGTGTGTACGTACCCTGATGGCGAGGTTGAGGTGCGTGCGTGTGAGCGAGGCGACGCGGTGCCAGCACACGAGCGTGTGTACGTGTGTACGTACCCTGATGGCGAGGTTGAGGTGCGTGCGTGTGAGCGAGGCGACGCGGTGCCAGCACACGAGCGTGTGTACGTGTGTACGTACCCTGATGGCGAGGTTGAGGTGCGTGCGTGTGAGCGAGGCGACGCGGTGCCAGCACACGAGCGTGTGTACGTGTGTACGTGTGTACGTACCCTGATGGCGAGGTTGAGGTGCGTGCGTGTGAGCGAGGCGACGCGGTGCCAGCACACGAGCGTGTGTACGTGTGTACGTGTGTACGTACCCTGATGGCGAGGTTGAGGTGCGTGCGTGTGAGCGAGGCGACGCGGTGCCAGCACACGAGCGTGTGTACGTGTGTACGTACCCTGATGGCGAGGTTGAGGTGCGTGCGTGTGAGCGAGGCGACGCGGTGCCAGCACACGAGCGTGTGTACGTGTGTACGTACCCTGATGGCGAGGTTGAGGTGCGTGCGTGTGAGCGAGGCGACGCGGTGCCAGCACACGAGCGTGTGTACGTGTGTACGTACCCTGATGGCGAGGTTGAGGTGCGTGCGTGTGAGCGAGGCGACGCGGTGCCAGCACACGAGCGTGTGTACGTGTGTACGTACCCTGATGGCGAGGTTGAGGTGCGTGCGTGTGAGCGAGGCGACGCGGTGCCAGCACACGAGCGTGTGTACGTGTGTACGTACCCTGATGGCGAGGTTGAGGTGCGTGCGTGTGAGCGAGGCGACGCGGTGCCAGCACACGAGCGTGTGTACGTGTGTACGTACCCTGATGGCGAGGTTGAGGTGCGTGCGTGTGAGCGAGGCGACGCGGTGCCAGCACACGAGCGTGTGTACGTGTGTACGTACCCTGATGGCGAGGTTGAGGTGCGTGCGTGTGAGCGAGGCGACGCGGTGCCAGCACACGAGCGTGTGTACGTGTGTACGTACCCTGATGGCGAGGTTGAGGTGCGTGCGTGTGAGCGAGGCGACGCGGTGCCAGCACACGAGCGTGTGTACGTGTGTACGTACCCTGATGGCGAGGTTGAGGTGCGTGCGTGTGAGCGAGGCGACGCGGTGCCAGCACACGAGCGTGTGTACGTGTGTACGTACCCTGATGGCGAGGTTGAGGTGCGTGCGTGTGAGCGAGGCGACGCGGTGCCAGCACACGAGCGTGTGTACGTGTGTACGTACCCTGATGGCGAGGTTGAGGTGCGTGCGTGTGAGCGAGGCGACGCGGTGCCAGCACACGAGCGTGTGTACGTGTGTACGTACCCTGATGGCGAGGTTGAGGTGCGTGCGTGTGAGCGAGGCGACGCGGTGCCAGCACACGAGCGTGTGTACGTGTGTACGTACCCTGATGGCGAGGTTGAGGTGCGTGCGTGTGAGCGAGGCGACGCGGTGCCAGCACACGAGCGTGTGTACGTGTGTACGTACCCTGATGGCGAGGTTGAGGTGCGTGCGTGTGAGCGAGGCGACGCGGTGCCAGCACACGAGCGTGTGTACGTGTGTACGTACCCTGATGGCGAGGTTGAGGTGCGTGCGTGTGAGCGAGGCGACGCGGTGCCAGCACACGAGCGTGTGTACGTGTGTACGTACCCTGATGGCGAGGTTGAGGTGCGTGCGTGTGAGCGAGGCGACGCGGTGCCAGCACACGAGCGTGAGCGCGCTGCCCGCACCGGCGGCCGGCCCGCCCGCAGCCACACTTGCGTTAGTGCCGCCCGCACTCGCTCCAGTACACCACTCCGAACCTGATATCATTTCCTATTCGTGAACATTGTTTATCAAATTAAACCATTATAGCGACAAAAACTTCAGAACTAATAGTTTACCAACACGTTGACAACGTTTGACACGTCGATCAGCTTGCGACAGCAGTTCCGTTTTATTTTAAAACAAGACGTTAACTTCTGCATTAGTATTTATTCCTATACTGTAGTGGCATTTTTATATAAATAATAATATAATAATCGATTTAGATATTATTACCCAAAGCCGTAACAAATATTTATAACCCATATCTTATCATATATTTATTGTATTTCCTTTACGATAACTTGTAGTAGTGTGGCCCCCACCACAGTATATTATATTAGTATTAAGGTAGAATAAGTTTAAGTAGTATAAGTCTTGAACTGAGCAACACGTCTTCTTCATTGACACCTTTGCTGCTATTAAATGACGACCCTGCCAGGCGGTGCGCAGCGACAATGCAAGCGCACCGCCGCGGCCTGCATAAATTGTTGTAAAAAAATGTAAAATAATTTAAATCGATTAAATCGACACCTTACCTTAAAACTTAATTGACGCAATACCGGATATTAAAAATATGAGAAGAGCCCACAATAATAATTTTATAGAAGCTGCCTCAATATAAAAAAGTATGAATATATATTAAAGAAGTTAAAATTTTTAAAATAATGAAGAAAGTAATTATAATGAAAATAACGAAGGCGTGAAGATAAATATGCATCGTGCGTATTTATGAAAATAGAAGAATCTTAAGTCCAGCATGCCAAGGCGAGAAGATTCTGAAAATGGAGCCAAACAGAACAAAGTACAAATAAAGAGGTAAGATCGCACCAGTGTGATTTTAAATTCTATTTACAACTTCATTAGTTAGAGATTTTTTTAAGTTGTTTTTGCTTTTAAGTTATTTATTTAATATTCGGTATTTAATATATTATGTTAAAGTTGAATTTAGAAATTTATTCAATTTCTAAATATTTAATATTTAAATAAATTAATGTTTTGTTGTATATATAAACTTGATAGCTGTAAGTGATTTCTTTTAATAATATTTTTATACGATAGAATTTTTAAATTCAAATTTAAAACGTTTTCAAGCTACTGGACTGGAAAGGATAGGGTATTGACGTAAATGGCGAATACAACACTCACCTTCGATTTGCCGAGGATTCTGGCGATTACGACACATCTTCTCGTCAGACATACGTCAAAAGCTCAAAACTAGGTTGTACAACCAGTGCGTGTTGCCAGTGATGACTTATGGTTCTGAGACGTGGTCCTTCACTGTTGGCCGTATGAGGAAGCTCAAAGTCGCTCAGCGAGCTATGGAGAGGGCTATGCTCGTTGTTCCTCTGCGTGACCAGACTTAAAAACTAGGATATCCGCAATAGAACCAGAGTAACCGAAATAGCCCAAGGAATTAGTATGCTGAAGTGGCAATGGGCCTGCCATATAGCTTGAAGAACCAACAACCGATGGGGAAGAAAGGTTCTCGAGTGGCGACCTCGTACCGGCAGGCAAAGTGTATGGCATCCTCCCACTAGATGGAGTGACGACCTGGTAAGACATGCAGGAAGTCAATGGATAGAGGTGGCTCGGGACCTTGCTTTGTGACATTCCTTGGGGGAGGCCTATGTTCAGCAGTGGACTTGTGAAGGGCTGTAATGATGATGAAACCGCGAACGTTGTTTAGGACAATCTAATACTAATTTTATTTAACGTGACTAAGAAAACGCTGTCATTATTTATGTACGCACTTTATCAACGCGATTTAAAGTTTATTTCAAATAAGTATGTATGTTATTATAAAGTTATTATTTCATATTTGCCTAAAAAAAAGTAACTAACGTAAAAGTAACTAATGAAAATACAACTTGGTGGCATATTTATATTGCGATCCATAGCTGTGACACAGGTTTTGTTTTGAATTGCCGTTTTAGTAGTATAAATAGAAGCGAGAGTTGCGTGATGTGCGTGAGTTGCGTGATGTGCGTGAGTTGCGTGATGTGCGTGAGTTGCGTGGTGTGCGAGAGTTGCATGGTGTGAGTTGAGTGGTGTGCGTAAGTTGCGTTGTGTGCGTTAGTTGCGTGGTGTACGTGTGTTGCGTGGCGTGCGTGAGTTGACTCATCTGCGTGAGTTGCGTAGTGTGAATAAGTTGCGTGGTGTGAGTGAGTTACGTGGTGTGCGTGAGTTGCGTGGTGTGCGTGAGTTGTGTGGTGTGCGTGAGTTGCGTAGTGTGCATGTGTTGTGTGGTGTGCATGAGTTGACTGGTCTGCGTGAGTTGCGTAGTGTGAATAAGTTGCGCGGTGTGCGTGAGTTGCGTGGTGTGCGTCAGTTGCGTGGTGTACGTGATTTGCGTGATGTGCGTGAATTGCGTGGTGTGCATGAGTGACTGGTCTGCGTGAGTTGCGTAGTGTGAATAAGTTGCGTGGTGTGAGTGAGTTACGTGGTGTGCGTGAGTTGCGTGAGTTGCGTAGTGTGTATGTGTTGTGTGGTGTGCGTGAGTTGCGTGGTGTGCATGAGTTGCCTGGTCTGCGTGAGTTGCGTAGTGTAAATAAGTTGCGCGATGTGCGTGAGTTGCGCGGTGTGCGTGAGTTGCGTGGTGTGCGTGAGTTGCGTGGTGTGCGTGAGTTGCGTGGTGTACGTGATTTGCGTGGTGTGCGTGAATTGCGTGGTGTGCATGAGTTGACTGGTCTGCGTGAGTTGCGTAGTGTGAATAAGTTGCGTGGTGTGAGTGAGTTACGTGGTGTGCGTGAGTTACGTAGTGTGTATGTGTTGTGTGGTGTGCGTGAGTTGCGTGGTGTGCATGAGTTGACTGGTCTGCGTGAGTTGCATAGTGTGAATAAGTTGCGCGGTGTGCATGAGTTGCGTGGTGTGCGTGAGTTGCGTGGTGTACGTGATTTGCGTGGTGTGCGTGAATTGCGTGGTGTGCATGAGTTGACTGGTCTGCGTGAATTGCGTAGTGTGAATAAGTTGCGTGGTGTGCATGAGTTGACTGGTCTGCGTGAGTTGCGTAGTGTGAATAAGTTGCGTGGTGTATGTGAGTTGCGTGGTGTGCATGAGTTGACTGGTGTGCGTGAGTTGCGTGGTGTACATGAGTTGCGTAGTGTGCATGTGTTGCGTGTTGTGCGTGAGTTACGTGGTGTGCGTGATTTGCGTGTCAACGTATGTGGGGCGGATGCTTGCGGCATCTATGACAGCCGACAACGCGTAGAACCAGCCCGCGTACTCGTTGACAACTATCTGTAGCCTTCTTTATTTGAAGTTGGCTGCAAGTGTCCATAACTGCAGCAGCCATTCACCATCAGATAGACTGTGAGGTCGTTTGACACTTCAATAGTTTTATAGAAAAAATAAAATAAAAAGTAGTGACCGTGGTCGTTGTTGTCGTTGGGGTCCGTGAGTTGCGTGTCGACGTGCACGGGGCGGAGGCGCGCGGCGTCGATGGCGGCGGCCAGCGCGTCGAACCAGCCCGCGTACTCGTGCTCGTTGCTGCCGCTCAGCAGCACGCACGTGTCCTCGCCTGCACACGCCAAGCAAACACTGCTGGCACACTTTGTACGACTTGGAAGCCGTGTAGTGTATCAATATCCACTACATTAATGATGTTAAAAATTAATTAGCTAATATTCGCGTAACTAAATAGAATAATGCGTCTTACTTAGTTTGCAGAACATCTCTTGCTCTCCCTGCACGTGCACTATCACAAACTCCTTAAACAAAGCATCCTCAGGTGAAGTAGACTGGGGAGACTTACTCCACAAACGCGAAACACGTGTCGTATTATCGATGGTGGTCTATCTTTCCCAATGTAGTGATGTATTGAATAGTGGTGAAGGAGACACATCATGTTAATTTTTTAAACGGATCCTAGCTAATTATCTTAAATATTATGGGTTTCCGCAAAATAACTACTTATTATATTATATTACAAGATGATGACTAAAAGAGGGCGTGGCTTACGGTTGCGTCACCAAGATGGTGGGGTAAAAACCGGTCGCGGTTGCAGCGGCACTTTGGCTCGAACGGTCGGAGAGAGCGGACGTGCTAGGAATTAGATATTTGGTTAAGTTGCTAATTAATAATTGAGATCGTAAATGTAATAAGAAGTTTATAATACAAGTTTTGTTTTGAGTGCATTTTTTATTTTTGAATTTTACTTCTGGTCGATAATATCAGAAGTAGGATAGTGCTTCGTCGCCTACCCGCTTTTGGAACACCTGACTAACATTAAATTAAAGATTAGTGTCGTGATTACATTTTAACGTTTTAGTAGTTGTCTTTTTACTTAGTGTTCAGTTTACAAATCTTAAAATGTCTGAACAACAATCTCGCTCTCGTAAACGCAAGCATGAGTCGAACAAGGATGTGCTGAATGCTATCCTTGCTAGATTGAATACGCTTGCTTGAGGAACGTTTTACTTCGCCGCCACCGCCGTCCGAGCCACTTTTACAGTCCGAGTCAACATCTTCGGGGCAGGCACCGCACCCGGTACTGCCCGCGCTAATGATTGGTGCAGCCACCGACGACGTACGCGATGACGACTCGACGGCAGTTCACGCACCCGTATCTGTATCACGGGAAAGCATTGCCACAGGCGGAGACACAACTTGCAGAATCGTGGAGGCCATCACTTCGTTAGTTAAAGTAAGGTCTAATAATTATTATATTTCTAACTTTGACCCTCATTTTCACAATATCGACGTTTGGTGCGAGGAAGTAGATAGGGCTAAAGAAACTAACGGATGGGACGATAACGAGTGTTTGTCGCGAATCGGTAATTTTTTGAAGGGAGAAGCACGTGTGTGGCTTAGCGAGTAGTCCAGCACCGATCTTTCGTGGACGAATTTCAAACGAGAATTTAAAATGCTGTGTCCTCGAACCCTCGATATTGCGTCTATTCTTTACGAAGTGATGACCAAAGATTCTAAAAGTTATGCTACTTACGCCGAATACGCTAGACGTTCGTTGTTAAGGTTGGGTTTGGTTAGGGGACTATCTGGCGAACTGATTGTCGCTATAGTATTAAGGGGGCATCACAGATCCTCATATTAAAGCTGCAGCTACTAATGCAAAGTTACAACCCAACGATTTAGTGCAATTTTTGTCGATGTACATAAAACCAAAAAATGATTTTCCGTCTACCCGTGATATTACTCGTGGATCGCATCCTAGTTCTGAATCAAACATTACCCGACGGAATGAAAATAAAAAGGGGGTTGGCGACTTAAGATGTCACTTTTGTAGGAGGTTTGGGCATAAGCATAAGCGTATAGACTGTAAAAGTGCTAAAAGAATGCGACTATGTAATAATTCAGGGCCGTCGTCGTCTAACACACAGTCACCGCTATCTGTAACATGCTCATTTTGCAAAAAGAGTGGTCATGAAATTAATGACTGTTTTGCCAAACAACGTTCAGAGTCGACAAAACTTAACCCGCACAATGTAAATTTTTGTAGTAAATTAGACAGTAATGTTGCGAAATCGACAATCGATGTAACAAGCGCAGTAATTGAAGGCGTACCGATTTATTTATTAGTAGACAGCGGTTCCTGCATATCACTCGTATCTAGTTCATTGTTGAAACATTTTAACCAAAGACCGACATACCGCATTTTACGAGGTTATAGGAAGTCAGCTTATCGAATGTACCTCGTTTGTGACATTAATTGTGGAGCTACCTCACATATCTATTGAAGCCGATTTTTATGTGGTACCCCACGATTGTATCAGTTCTCCGGTCAGTATTATAGGCACCGATATTCTGAATCGTGAAGGCATCACATATATCCGACAAAATGGTGTTCATATTCTGACGCGTACAGGCAAACCTATACCGGTAAACCATGCTTTTGATATTAATAATGTAAACACACCTCTTAAAGGTGAAGAGAAAGAACAGCTTTTTTTGGTTATCAGTGATTTTTCAAAGTTCTTTATAACTGGCACGGCTTCATCAACAGTCACGACAGGTAGTATGAAAATAGAACTTTCCAACAATGAACCGGTATGTTATAGGCCGTATAAATTATCTTACGATGAGAAGCTTCGCGTTCGGAGTATAGTTAAAGACCTAATGGCTAAAAGCATTATACGTGAATCCGAATCACCATACGCCAGCCCCGTGATCTTGGTTAAAAAGAAAGATGGCACACATCGAATGTGCGTAGATTATAGGGTTTTGAACTCACGCACTGTAAAAAATAAGTTTCCCTTGCCACTCATAGGGGATCACATTGATGGGTTAGGGTCAAGTAGATTCTTTACGAGTTTAGATATGGCGCCTGGCTTTCATCAGGTACCTATGGAAGCAGGATCAATTGCCAAAACCGCTTTCATGACCCCAGAAGGTCACTTGGAATATGTAAAGATGCCTTATTGCCTTTCTAACGCTCCAGTATTTTATCAAAAGATCATTTCAAAGACTCTCAAGTCTTTCGTCGATTCAGGAAAGGTTCTTGTGTACATAGATGACGTCCTTTTGCTATCCGATACGGTACTCGAAGGATTAGCCCTACTACGACGAGTCTTATAAACCCTTACTTCCTCTGGTTTTTCTATAAATCTTAAGAAATGTACCTTTCTTAGCAGTGAAATAGAGTATCTTGGGAGGGTTTACAGTAATGGTCAGGTTAAGCCGAGCATGCGTAAGGTCCAGGCATTGGTTGATTCCCCAAAGCCTCGAAGTGTTAAACAAATTCGACAGTTCCTTGGCCTTGCGGGCTATTTCAGAAGATATATTCCAAATTATGCCCAGTGAACAGCTTGTATCGCACATTTAACTAAAAAGAACATGCCGTTTGAGTGGGGAGTCGAACAAGATATATTATTGACCGTTTAACAAACGAACCCGTCCTTGCCATATACGACCCTCAGTTACCTACGGAGGTGCACACAGATGCAAGTGCTATCGGTTACGGTGCAGTCTTAATACAGATTCATGAGGGTGGTCTTAGGCGTGCAGTAGCGTATTTCAGTAAATCAACCCAAGGCGCTGAACCCAAATATCATTCCTATGAATTGGAAACTCTAGCCGTTGTTAAAGCTCTCCAGAATTTTAGAAAGTACTTGTTAGGCGTACCCTTTAAAATTGTTATGGACTGTAACGCTCTAAAGCTAACCGAGCGTAAGAAAGCCTTGCTTCCCCGTAAATCATAAATAAATCATAAATCTTTATTTGCAAGAATCACGGTATAAAAAGATGTTACAATTTATATAGTGCAGTCGTGTTTCGCTAATAATAGCATGCAAATTATAATTTTAAAATGTTTATACAATATTAATAATTATTTAAATCTAAAAAATATTTTTAGTAATAAATGCATTCAATTTTTAACCAATCATACAAATGTTTCTTATATAGTCTTTCGCTTAATAATTTAAATTCTTTAGGTATTTTATTATATATTTTTACACACATATTAAGGCAGCTTTTGTTATATTTAACGAGCCTAGGAATAACATCTAGGACAAGTTTGTCTGGGTCACGTCGGTTTCGAGGATATCACTTGCTTTAACAAATAATGACTTATTTTTAAAAACGAACAAGCCAGTTTCATAAATGTATAGTGACGGGAGGGGTAATATACCAAGTCTTTTAAATAGCGGTCTACAGGATTCTCTTGGTGATATTCCGCATATTGCACGAATACATTTTTTTTGGGCAACGAATGCTCTATTTCGGTCAGTACCATTACCCCATATTATAAGTCCATAGCGTAAAATAGACTCTACGTATCCGTGGTACGTTACAATTGCTGTATTTATATTTGTAATGTTTTTGACTTGTTTAAGGACATATACAAACTTATTAATTCTACTGCATACGTTATCAATTTGTTCTTTCCAGTTTATATTTTCATCTAACATTATTCCCAGAAATTTTGTACATGTAGCTTCTTTTAGTTTTGGTATATTAAATTTCATATTATGATTGGAATTGATAGATTTATTAAATTGTATGTAGTGGGATTTATCTAGATTAATTTTCAAATTATTTATGTCAAGCCGTTCTATTAATGTGTCAATTGTATTATTAATGTCACCTTCATGATTTCTAATTGTATTATTATTTTTATTACATGTCACAATAATTGAAATGTCATCAGCGTATAGAATACATTTATGATTCGTGATGTCAACAATGTCATTAATATATAATAGGAAAAGAATCGGTCCTAATATACTTCCTAGCGGAACACCGAATTTATTATATTTATATCCAGATGAATAAGATGTCAAGTTATTGTTTTTATCTATTTTATCAATGATAACACATTGTTGTCTACCATTTAAGTATGACGATAACCACTGAAGTACTAGTCCTCTGATCCCTACTGTCTATAATTTTTGCAATAATATATCATGTGCAACAAAATCAAAGGCCTTTGAGAGGTCAAAGAATAATCCTGTTGTCAATTGTCTATAGTTTATGTAACTAAGTATTGTTTTTACTAAAGAAAACATGGCCAGTGAGGTCGATTTGTGTTTTTGAAACCCGTATTGTTCGCTTTTAATTATCTGGTATTTATCACAGTAATCAACTATTCTTTTATACATACATTTTTCAAAAATTTTGGCCAAAATAGGTATATATATTGAATATTATATATTGAATATCATCCTTTCTCCCTTTTTTAAATAAAGGTTTTATGATTCAAAACTTTAATGCTTCTGGGAATTTTGCTGATAAGAATGATAAATTAATAAGATGTGTCAAAATTTTGGATACATTGTCAGCGCATGATTTTAAAATTTTCGTGTTAATTTCGTCATATCCCTTATGTATAGATTCCTTAGTATCCTGAATTTGTATTGTTTAATGATAATATTTCCATTTTTACTTCACTTTCTGTCATAAGTTTTAAGTACATTTACTATTATTTATATATTTAATATTATCAATTTGTTTGGATTTATAAATACATTTCTTTAAAATATTAGAATAGTTTATATAGGTCATTTTATTGAGTGTACTTTTTTGCTTATAGTATGTGTATCGAAGAACCCGTTTAGTTCGACAACTTTTTTTTAATCCTTGACTTATCCATTTATTTTTCCTTGTGTGACAATTGTTTAATTTTAGTTTTATTTTTGGAAAACATAGATTGTAAAAAAGACATATCAATTCGTGAAAAACGTTAAAGGCCTTCAAGTCAGTTTCCATATAAATTTCATACCACGATAAGTTTTGTAGACAATCTTTAAATTTTTTAATATGGTCCAAGTTATAATCTCTCCTAAAAGTGTTGTAAGATGGTGCCGATTTTAATTTGTTTTTTACTGGAAATGTTAACATTTGTGCTGTGTTATGATCCGAGAGATGAAGTGGTAATATAGTTGCAGTGGCGTTTGGAATGTTACTCAATATGTGGTCTATACAAGATAATTTTCGCGTAAAAACGTTTATATGAATTTTTAAATTGTAATTGTGACATAATCCGTGTAGCTAGGTGGTGGTTATCCATGCAAGATCTCCAGTATACTTTCGAATACAGGAAGGGGTCTTCCCCATAATGTCCCATGCCGATTACCTAAGCAGGAACCCTGTGGAGGTATGCCATATTCAAAACCCCAAAAATTGGGCCAAGTTAGCTCAATCTGCAGATGAGGAGACACTTAATCTCTTTGATAAATTCAATAACGGTCAACTAGACTCTTCCCGATACGTGTTACGAAATGGGATATTCCCAAAGGATTTAGACTGAGTCTGCTTCATGTGTTTCATGATGACCAAGACCACATTGGGTACGATAAAACGATAGAACTTATTTTACGTCATTTCTGGTTTCCTGTACGCTCTTTTGTTAGGAAATATCTCAAGCATTGTATTGTGTGTCTGTCACACAAACGTGTGCCGCGTGCCTCTCATCAACTCATCGAATCTTGGACTAAGCCAGACTTACCATTTTCGGTAGTACACATGGACACACTTGGTCCATTGCCTGAATCTCAAGGTTATAAACACGTATTGATTATTATTGATGCATTTACGAAATATTGCCTTCTATACTCCCTCCGTCGTCAAGACACTGACGAATTGAAAAGGGTCTTTACTAACGCGGTTTCGATGTTTGGGTCTCCGAGACTTTTGGTCGCGGATCAAGGACGGATGTTTGAGAGTGCCGCTTTTCAAGATATGGTCAGTTCGTTTGGCAGCGACATTCACTTCATTACGCCAAACATGCACCACGAAAATGGACAGGCCGAGCGTTATTGCCGAACTTTACTAAACCTTCTTCGTATCGAAGTTAACCATAGAGGTCAAAGTTGGTCTGATGTATTGTGGAAGACTAAACTTATTTTAAATAGTACAAAACACAGTACAACCAATATGTCTCCCCTTCAGTTGCTTATCGGAAGCGACACTTCCACCCCAGTTATACGTGCTCTTGTCCGAGATGTTGCAATAGATATTGCTACCCCAAACCGTGAAGCGCTTATGGCGCTGCGAAGACACCGTGTGTCGTCACTACTGTCTACTAACCAGCAAAAACAAGACGATCGTGTGAAGAAAGGCCGTAGATCACCTTACGAGTTTGAGGTAAACGACAAGGTATTTGTGATTAAGGATTCGCAGTCAGCGGGGAAATTAGATTCCTGTATTCGCGGACCTTACAAGGTATTGAAAAGACTTCCACATCATCGGTATAAATTGGAGCTGTTGGCTGGCTGGTACGGGAAGCGTACAGAAGCTGCAGCTGAAAACATGGTGGCGTGGGCAGGAGAGTGGACTCCCGAGACCTATGCTGCGTTTTTTGATTGTAAGTCACCGATGATATTATGTTTGTCTATCATGCAAATGTTTTGCTTATGTGTCGTTGTATGTATGGGTTAGTGTACTTATACATATCCACGTTGACATTGAGATGTTTTCTCTGTCAAGGCAGATGGACCACTCACTTAAGAGTTTTCCATGTCCACGTTGGTATCTAGTGTGATTCTCTACCACGGCAGATGGAAGGTTCCGAAGGAATCTCTTCCATACTTACGTTGACATTGAGATGTTTTCTCTGTCACGGCAGATGGACTACTCATTCGGAGGTTTTCATGTTCACGTTGGTATCGAGTGTGATTCTCTACCACGGCAGGACAGTTGCCCAGAGGAGGTACTGTCACGGTATACTAGTTACTACCGTAATATAGCCAACTGATGTATGGTGTATGAGGGCCCTCCAGAGAACGATGTGAATGAACGTGGTTAATAGTTTGAACGTTTTGTATGAGAGAAGAGTGTAATGTCATGAAGTATGAACGTTTTCTTTGTAAGGAGTATGCTGTTACGAGATATTAAATGATAAATTCTAATGTGTTCAATTCATTTGTAACTTTTAGCGGAGTCTGATGACTCTTTACATGACACTTCGGAGGAGGCTGAGGCGAGGTCAAATCTCGAAAACATAAAGGTTGCGGACGAGCACGACCACCTGTCAGGGTAGGCCGTGTTACAAGATGATGACTAAAAGAGGGCGTGGCTTACGGTTGCGTCACCGAGATGGTGGGGTAAAAGTCAGTCGCGGTTGCAGCGGCACTTTGGCTCGAACGGTCGAAGTTACTAATTAATAATTGAGATTGTAAATGTAAAAAGAAGTTTATAACACAAGTTTTGTTTTGAGTGTATTTCTTAATTTTACTTCTGGTCGATAATAATTCATTAATATCCACTACCCCATATTATTCCGTGGATGTTTTGAGAGAAAAACTGAAGTTTACGGTGACGTGTGTTCAGCAGTGGATTTTTGATATCCTGTAATAGAAGGATGGATGTATGGATATCTCCATTCACGAGGGTAGAAGTTGAAAACAGATAAAAAGAAGAAAAAAGCATTTTAAGTGGATAGTAAAAGGGACGAGGGAAACCGCGCTCTCACAGAATGTCAACATAAAATTGCAGCTCAACGCTATTGTATTTCACATGATGAGAGTGTAGAGAACCGAAGAAGCCCTTGTTTATTGGTAACGAAACATTACGTCTTGGTTCTCAGGGATGACAACTTTTTATTCTAAACCGAGGATAGATGTCTATATGCCACAGCATCAACTTACCATCAGGTGGACTATGTGCTCGTTGGTGACTCTTATTCTATAAAAAAGGGCTAAGACAAAGACTCGCTCGTGACACTAAGTTAGTTCATTGTACGTTGAGAACTACAGAGTATATAAAAGGATATCCCGGCTGCAAGAAATTTAAATAATAGGTTTTAACGATCGATTACTTTATGCTTTCAGCTGGAAGAACCAACAAACAACGGAAAGTTATTGAGTAGCAGCCACGTACTGGAAAGCGTAGCCCCCCCCCCACCCCCCCACCATTAGATAGAGTGACAACATTGTAAGAGATCCAGGAAGTTAATAGATGTGGGTGGTTTAAGGATCGTAATTTGTGAGATTTCTTGGGGGAGACCTATGTTCAGCAGTGGACTTGCGATGGGCTGTAAAGAAGATGATAAAATTTGTTTTTTGGATGTATGGAACGGCAGCATAACTAAGCAGTTCTAGTAATTTTAAAATGTAAAGCTTTAGAATAACTAATTTATAAAAAATATAGGAACATGGCATAGAAACAATCAATCGATGTCTATAGATTGAATCGTTCAAAATATTTGCTTTAATATCCAGGAAAAAACAAAGGGATAAGTTTGAATTGACTAATTATTGTATCAATAGATTGTACTCTTCATTTCTTGACAATTTAACTTAAATACTAGATAGGATTATGTTGGCTTATGTATTTTTTGTATCGACGCTTGTTTGAACGGAAGACAGAAGAAAGCCAAACCGGTCGGTCATGGGTTAGATAGACACTTACTTGTGAGCGTGAAGGAGTTGGGCAGGTCCGACGGCATTAGCTGCAACGAGTGCAGGGGCAGAACCATCTGTGCGCGGAACTGAGGGCCCGAACTCTTCGACGCTATCAGCAACATGTCGCTGAACTGCTCGCGAATACACATTTAATATTAATTTAGAATACAACACACAATTCAAGGCGAGGTATAGACAGGCGGTATTGGTAAGTATATGGGTCATGGCTCCGAGCAGCAGCCTAATTAGATATTATCATTACAGCCACTCGAATATATTTATTTCCGTCGGTTGTCGATTCTTAGAGCTATATGGCCAGCCCATTGCTACTTTAGCTAACTGATCTACAAGATAGATAAAAATTTTAACTTATGCTGAATACATTTAATTAAATTATAACGAACATTGTTTCTAAAAGTAATTAGCCTGTATTTTGGCAAACAATATTTCAGAAATTGTGTCGTCGTAAACCTTTAAATAATAAATATGTCACAAACGTTTATTTACTAAAGAACTAGCGATCCGCCCCGGCTTCGCACGGGTTATTTCTGGATTTCGAGGACAGCGCCACCTACCGCCCACCTACCCACTAAAACACACAAAAATGTCAGCAGAATCGGCCGAGCCAGTTTCGAGTTTTAGCGAAACTAACGGCAGCGATTGATTTTTATAGAAATTAAGCAGTACAAAAAGAATATGGTTTGTTCATAATTCAAGTGCAATATACAAAAACCTTATAAATTATAATAAAAAAAAAAAAACTAAAACTCACCAAGAATAGCATTCGTTGCTGCAAGCCCTTTGACGAGTGCTTGTACAGACAGCCGAGGCGAATGAACTCTCGCTCTGCAACCAGCAGCTTGTCGTAGCCTAAACGATAACGTTAACTTTACTATGTATATCTTTCTTCTCTTTGGTAGCAAGAACTTTCATATTTTTTCAGAAATATTAAAAAAGTAATTGCGTGTTGGGATCTTTATGCGATAGGGTCGGCTGAGCAGATCGGTGATAAGGTTGTCTATTGGAATTATTTCTATCTCAATCGTCTCCAATTAGTTCCCAAATTGAAAAGAAGCCGATGTGAGATAAAAATACTTCAGATAAACCAGCTGCAATACTTGTCCGGTCTATTATTTGCCTTCGAAATCCATAGTGTTTCGTCAGCAGCAAGCCGCCATTGCTTTTTTTTTTTCTTTTTGGACTACCTATTATATAGAAAAAAAGATATCGTTTTCGTAATACAAATTTTACGAATTTGAAACATTTACTTTAGTAATAAGAATTAATTGTCTTATGTAAATAAGTAGTTATGCAAATAAGTAAGTAATATAAGTTACTTGAAAAATAACTACAATAATTTTGTTAAATATTTGAAGTTATTTTTGACGTCGCTAGTTACAATCAACCTTTAAGTTCGTTTCACCAAAATAAGAATATCGATACTTATATCGTTGATATTTTAATTCGCGATATATCGATATTCGATAATTATTTTAGAATACTGATTTTGTATCATTTAAATATATTTTAAAATGTTGTATTAATCAACAAAACTTTAATAATTGAAACAGCTACAAAAGCATTCATGTGCTGTCGATATATCGATGTATCGATATTTATCACGCGATATATATCGATACTGTTTAAAAATATCGATATAGATATCGATATACTTTTTCGGTTGACCAGCGGCGGATTGCTGCTAGGAGTAATCCGCCGGCGGTCAAGTTCCCGCCAAGATTGCAATGTAATATTTATTTAGAATGTTTACTGGTGGGGCATAAATTACATATTTATATGTGTAATTTAAGGTATGTTCTAACATAATATATAAATTAAATTTAGTCGGTGCACTTCCGTGTAGTGGCGGTGTAAGAATATCTACCACTCCATATCATCCCGTGGTGGTCGTAAGAGGTGACAGAGAGGAACAAATCAGGATATGGGCAGCAGAGTCTTCCTAATAACGACTAATAATGAAAAATTGCGATTTCCAACCCGCTTGCGAAGCGTGGTAATTATGGCAAGTATCCCTCTTACGAGACAATGTATGGGGGAGGGCTATGTGCGGCAGTGCAGTTTACAAGGTGTAACGGAGCGGGAGTTGGCTGACCGGCGAGGTCGCGCTGCAGCTGGCAGAGCGCGGCGTGGTTCTCGACGTGCGGCAGCTGCTGCAGCGCCAGCGCCGCCATGCCGCTGGCCAGCTCCAGCGCGCCGCGAGCGCGCCCGCCCTCCGCGCCCGCGCCCGCACCCGCCACCAGCTCTGCCCGAAACAAAAACCAAATATTTTTTTTGGTAATGGACTCACACGGTTGTACTTTTGTCAGTGTCAAGTAATACAAAATTTTTTAAGTAAAAATTTCTTTAGAATCGTAATTTGAAACTAGATGAAACAAAAAAGCAACACTAAAAACAGACAAACATTTATACATCTATAGAGTTTAGCCTGCGAGAGAATGAGAATATAATATACAGTGTTCTTATCTCGCTCTTTTTCTCAAGATTTCACATATAAAGCGTGTGACACATGTATCGTACAGTAGTACTTTTGCCAGTATAAAATATTGTTACGAGCTTGGGGTTCGAGACAATTAAAAACTGTCGAGTGAATTACCAAAATTGACACTTTAACTACAGAACACTAATGACAACTCATAACCACACTAATAATAAAACACAATTATACTACTGATCACTTTACTTCGCAGTTGTATCGCTTCGAAGTATTCGCTTGTATCGCCAACTCAACACTGACTCGGTCGTGGTCTATACCGGCCTTATATAGGGCCTCAGATAGTTTCCAGAACCTTCTACTGTAGCGACATCTAGAATGTTCGAGTACATATCGGTCGCGAAATTTCTAGAAGGATCTTGACTCTCCTAGTTCTGCTACTCGACAATAGAAGGCGCTAGTGGCAACTAGTGTTGCGATGTACAAGTCATTAATAGTTGCGCGCAAGACTGCCTCCTCCTAAGACATGCTCGTCCCGAGGATTATTGGCCCCATAATAACGCGCCAGTAGATCCACATGGACGATCATAGGCGTACCTCTGGCACCTTTCTGTATTCAGTAGGTTACGTCATTGATCCTTGTCACAATCCGGTACGGTTCATCCCATTTAGCTTGAAGATTAGAAAATTTCCCTTTGCTGCGAACTGGATTGTGTTACCACACTAGTGAACCTTCGTCAAACCCTTTGTTGTTCATTTTGCGGTCATACCGTGTTTTCCTCTTCTCAGACGTTTGCTGGCCCGTCTGTCTGACGTGCTCATAAATGTCTTCATTTTGTTCCGCAAGTCATTTGCATAATCGGTTATACTGCGTGGGGCATCAGGTGGTATACCGGTGATCAGGTCTGCAGGCAGCCGTATTTCTCTCCCAAAGTTTGCGAAAGCTGGTGTCACTGATGTATTTTCGTGAACAGCGCTTCGATAGGACAACAAAAACGGTTGTGTGTGCATGTCCCAGTCTGGTTGCCGTTTTTCCACAACTTTTGCTAGGTACCTCTCCAATGTCTGATTAAATCGTTCTACCATTCCATCAGATTGTGGGTGGTAAGAAGTTGTTCTTGTTTTATGAGTACCCATAATTCGGCAAGTTTCCTGGAATATTTCAGACTCAAAATTCCTTCCTTGATTGCTGTAAATCTCTAATGGTACGCCAAAACGACAGAAGACTTCATGAACTAGTTTACCTGCAACTGTTGAAGCTTCTTGATTTGGAATGGCAAAGACTTCTGGCCACTTAGTGATGTAATCTATCACAACCATAAAATACTTGTTACCACTTTCACTCTCCGGAAACGGCCCTGCAACGTCAATGGCTATCCTCTCCCATGGTGCACCAACACTGTACAATTTCAATGCGCCTCTACTACGAGTTTGAGGTCCCTTTACAGCCGCGCAACTTTTACATTTGTGGCACCAGTCCTCGACATCGTCACGACAGTGGACCCAGTAAAACCGTTCTCGGATCTTCAGTAGAGTTCATTTAACTCCCAGGTGGCCTCCTGGACAACTACTATGGTACAGCTGTAGAACATCCGGTACTTTAGCCTTAGGGACAACCATTTGCAAATGACAACTGTCTCCCCGACCATTTTCCCATTTACGGCACAGGACTCCATCCTGAATCAGCAAGCTGTCCCATTGGGCCCAATAGCTTTTCGTGGTCGAACTCATTGCTGAGACGTCGCTCCACTTGGGCTTAGGAGCACTGGCCTTCATCCATTCCAGAATCGGCTTAATGTCCGAATCTTCCTGCTGTGCATGTTGTAGGCTGTCCTTCCACTCATTGCTGAGCTGGTCTGTCCTGATTATCCTCACAGATACCACTTCCTTACCCTCTTGCCTAGTACAACGCTAGCAATCTTCAGGACAAAGTCTTCTTGACAATGCATCTGCGTTGCCATGAGATTTCCCGCTGCGCTGGGCGGTGCTGTTAGCCGCACTACCATCTCGAGATCGATCACCTTCCCTTTCTACAGTTCGCTTAGGGCAGCTGGATCGAAGATGGCCCCTTTCCCCACAGCCGTAGCACCTATGGCTGTATCCTTTATTGCGGTCGCGAACTGTAGCTGCTGCAACCTCCCTGACGCGATGGGAACGATGATCCTGTCGCACGGCTTCCACCTCCAGTGCATGGGTCAAGGCGACCTTAAGCGTTTCGTGGTGCCCGAGCCTCACAGCAGCTCTAACTTCAAGGTCGCGGATGCCGTCGATGAATGTCTGCACCAGGTTCTGTACAATGAACGCAGTTACAGACTGGTATGCTTTTCGAACCAGCTTCTCCACCTCAAGGGCCCACTGCTGCAGGTTTTCGTTACTGCGTTGCACGCGATCTTTGAGCTGCGCACGAAAGACATGTTCCCGGTGAGCGTAGCCATATCTCGCCTCTAATGCCTCAAGGAGCTGCTCGTAAATCACTTCCTTACCGAGAGCTTCCAGAACAGTTAAGGCCTGGTCGCGCAGGCCTAGGGTGAGAACAGTCATGGCCTGACTTTTATTCCAGCCGTTCGCCTTCATGACAGCCTCGAATTGGATTTTGTAGGCCGACCAGGTAGAAGTCCCGTCGAACGGCGGCACTTTAAATCCACGTAGAGGTGTTGTAGCTACCACGGGAGCTGTAACTCCATCCCCAATTTTGAGGTTCTCCAGCGTTTTCTTCACGTCAACCATCACGTTGCCAACCCGATTGTTCACTTGGTCGATTCGGGTTTCAGCTTCCGACAGGCGGTTGTAATGTTGAACAATCCTATCCTTCACCTCCGTTTTCTCTTTCCCGAAGGTAGCGTGAAGGTCCTTCTTGAGGAGCATCTGTTCTTCAATAACGCGCTGCAGTTGCTCTTCCAACCGACGGGTCTGTTCCTCCAGTCGGCGGGCCTGTTCCTCCTGTCAGCGAGCGTGATCCTGCAGCATCATCATCAGAGCACCTCAGCCTCGGTGATCAGCAGCTGGCCCTCCGACGTTTGCAGCGTTGCACCCCCAAATCTTCTCTGGTCCGTCTCCTGTTGGCGTTGACTTCGGGTACGGATACCCTCCGTGTCGTCTTTAGGTAAAATCGGCATATTTGATTCCACTTCTGACACCAATTGTTACGAGCTTGGGGTTCGAGACAATTAAAAACTGTCGAGTGAATTACCAAAATTGACACTTTAACTACAGAACACTAATGAAAACTCAAAACCACACTAATAATAAAACACAATTATACTACTGATCACTTTAGTTCGCAGATGTATCGCTTCGAAGTATTCGCTTGTATCGCCAACTCAACACTGACTCGGTCGTGGTCTATACCGGCCTTATATAGGGCCTCAGATAGTTTCCAGAACCTTCTACTGTAGCGACATCTAGAATGTTCGAGTACATATCGGTCACGCAATTTCTAGAAGGATGTTGAATCTCCTAGTTCTGCTACTCAACTCTAAAGGGCGCTAGTGGCAACTAGTGTTGCGATGTACAAGACATTAATAGTGGCGCGCAACAATATATTTTTTAATTTAGACATCCAAATAACAAATTCTATATATAATAAATATTACTCATTTCATTGCCAACGTGTGCAAGCACTGAATAATAATGATGGTCCACTTCGAAGAGTATATCTTTTCAAATCGTCTCTCCAAATATTAAATGCACATATAAACAACATGTAACTCACTACACGCTTCTCCGTCGACATTTTTTATCGTGGGGAATATCTCATGGATACCTTCGGCTGCGGCGGCAACAAAAAGGTTATGCCAGACTCCTACCGGTAACAGCCTACCAGTAACCCCATGGTGATCACTATCGGCGTATATGAGGGATCACGGGATCTCCGTTCGGGATGCAACCGGTCTACCTCTCTCGTTTCGTTTTAGGCTCCAATTACACCAGGTGAAATTTTGTCCCGCAACATCAATCTACGTGACGATGCATCGTTGGACAGTGACTTGCAACATTTTACGTGACGCGGGCATGTTGTTTGTTCCCGTTTCGAGAGCGAGCACACATGTCAGTGTCGCGCCATTTAATACCGGGTGTAGTCGTGTGCGTAACTTGTCTTGCAAAATGTCAGTAGTGTGGGGAAAAGAAACCTGAGCTTTACCAGAGTCATGTTTTGTAGTGGGATACTAACTATTAACTACTGATCAGTTGTTTCGACACTCGAAAAGTGTACGACAAGGAAGCATAAGAATCTCCAGTCGATAAGTATCGTACAATCAACAACAAATCCAACAGCGTGTCGTAGTATTGTATCTTGTTTGGCTTTGGAAGATCTGATCATTTGTTATAAAGTTTCAAAATCAGATGTTAACATTCGAGTAAAATTCACAAAAGATCCGTCAGACATTTGGAGATCACTTAAAATATTAATTCTTTTCTCTTCTTGTTGTGGTAAGAAATTCCGCCGCCTTCTCTTTTGCTTACGTTTCACTCCCAAAATAAGTATTAGCAACACTAATCGCTACAACCTCCTCGGGCGACATTTTTATAAGCACTGACTAGTGTTGCCTGCAAAATCTTCCGCGACATATGTCTCGGGACATTCCACCTTTTTTTATAGAATAAGGCTGACAAACGAACACACAGTCCACCTGATGGTAAGTGAATGCTGTGGCCCATATACATCTACATTTTTATCCTCGATTAAGAAGAATCAAAATGCAGATGCGTTGCCACTCCTGAGGACTAAGATGTAATGCCTTGTTTCCAGTAAAAAGGGTCTCCGGTTTTGTACATTCATACCATACGAAGCAAAGCAGCATTAAGCTGCTATTTTACGCTGGTATTCTGTGAGAGTGTGGTCCTTCCCCGGTTGAGCCGACCCATTCGTGCTACAACTATACTATTAATATAGCTGCAGCATTGCTCTACCACGTAGTTGAAAAGCGACAAGTTGCGCCTCCTTTTGTCCCCAAGTATACCCAAGCCTTTATTAAAGCCCGTCCCGGGGGCAGTCCTTCCTATCGCCAGCACTATCGCAGTGCTATCACGGTGCTCCGGACTACTTCCGAGTCACCGTGCTCCTCGAAGGGCGTCTGTCGAACTACGCAAAACGTCTAATGGCGGCTCTTCACGTTGGCCAACATAGTGGCGAATGTGTTGGCCAATACCAATAGCACAGTATAAATATGAACAGTATGGAAACTAAGCCTAGTTGAGGATATAATTACCTACGCTCCATTGAAGCAATAGGGTTGTAACTTTTAATGTGTTGATATTGCTTTTTTTTATAATTTTGTTCTGTAGTGATCAATCAATCGAATTTAAATAACTAGCTTACAAATACAATTTAATTAGGTAATCTCAGCAAAAAAAACGATAATTTAAACACGGAAAACAATTTAATATTAACACACAACAACTTGTAGAAATTTAACTTTGTCATTACGGCGTAACCTTTTACAAGTTTCGGCGGGAACGTACGCGAGCCGCAGTTGGACGAAAACGTACCTTTATTCTTCACTAGTTGTTCCCTGCGACTTCGCTCGCGTGTTAGGGTTTTTATTTTTTTAGCGCGGAACTCTAATTCTTTTTCTAAAATAAAAGTAGTCTAAGTTACTCCTTATGACATCAGCTATCTGCCTGTGAAAGTGCCGTCAAAATCCGTCCAGCCGTTTCGGAGAATAGCCGGAACAAACAGACGGACAGACAGACAAAAATTTTAAAAATTGTTATTTAGTTATAAGTACCGTATTTACTTTCATATGCATTAAGTAAAAAGCTGTTATTTTGACATTACAAACAGACATTTCAATTTTATTTATTTGTATAGATTATTATATAATAGATAATAGATAATTATTTACAAAAAAATATTTTCGTTTGCTACGACAAGTTCGGAATTCTTTATTATTGAATACTAACTGTGTAAAAAATATCATTCTAATGAACAGGTTTTTTTAAAATAAACTGGGAACAAGGAACAAGGAAACAAGGAACGGGTGGGTACTATGAAACCGATTTTGTTTATTTTTTTGTAAATTAGATCAGCTACTTTGCAGTTTATATGTTCTTTTTTAAAGCAACAACGAAAAATCGGTTTCAACACCCTCAAAAACCATGAAAATGACACCCATAACGAAAAAATTAATACCTATTGCAGCCATCATCTTGGATTTGTATTTTAACAGCACTATCGGCTTCAACATACTCAAAAACTATGAAAATTACACCCATGACGAAAAAATTGATACCTATTGCAGCCGCCATCTTGGATTTACATTTCAACAGCACTATCGGCTTCAACATACTCAAAAACTATGAAAATGACACCCATGACGAAAAAATTGATACCTATTGCAGCCGCCATCTTGGATTTACATTTCAACAGCACTATCGGCTTCAACATACTCAAAAACTATGAAAATGACACC